GGATGGCGGAGTGTGTTCAGCAGCTGGTCCTTGCGCTACAGCAGGACAGGTTCGACATCCTCTTCGAGCTCCTTCCCCAGCAGAGGGCGGACTCCCTGAGGCTGCAGTACGCCCAGGACATCTGCGACAAAGGCTTGGGATGCTGGGGGTGCGGGGAGGCGGGCCAAACCGCCTTGGCCAGAGGACTGGCCAGGGCCGAGCTTCGGCCGCATCCGTGCAGTGCAGCTTCTACCGCGTGAAGGTCGCAGGTCGAGGTCCCGATCACCACCGAGGCAGCCGCTGGCACCCTCCGTGTCCGAGCAGGAGGAGGAGGAGGAGGAGGAGGAGGAGGAGGAGGAGGAGGAGGAGGAGGAGGAGGAGGAGGATGGCGTGGCAGTCCACGGGATCTAGTGCAGGACGCCCTCACGCGGTACTCCCCTGCCCATGCCAATGCTTGCCTGAAAACTTTAACGGGGTGCTGGGTTACGAGCCATAGATTTCGCGACCCTGTCCCTGGCCTGTGCCGTCTCGGATGTCCTGCCGGTGCTTTCTCTGGGTGGCCGACCCTGCCCTGACTCGTTCCGGCACTACTGGCTCTGCCCACTGTTCCGACGGCTGGTCTCAGCGATCATAGAACGCCCCATCCCTCTCTGCCCTCTCGAGGCTTGGGGTCTCCTCGCCCCCTCCCCTCGTGCCTTCTTGCCTATGATCGCTGGGTATTTTCTTAACAACGCCCTCCGCGGCGAGTCAAAAGGACTCTCGGAGGAGGTTACAACGATCTCCGACCGCGAGGTAGTGCCGCTCGTGAAGTGGCAAATCCACCGAGCGCCCTCAGCTCCAGAGCCGACGGCGGAGTCATAGACTGGTTGCGCCCCCCTTGGGTACGCTGCAGGATGGCGTGGCAGTCCACCCCGAGGGCGCAGGTGATGATGGCGACTCCTTCTACGAAAAGGCGGAGGAGTTCCCTGCGGCAGGCCCCGTGGACGAGGAGGAGCTCGACGACCTTAGCTTCGAGGAAGTTGAAAAATAGGTACCTGTCGACGAGCCTTGTGGGGCTAGCGACGCTTGCCGCCGGGAGGTGTCGGAGGCTAGCAGCGTGGTGTCGCCGACGTCGCCGCCCAGCCTCCCCAGCCCCGCCTCCAGCAGCTCTGGGCAGGGAAGCAGGAGCGGTCCCACTGCCAGCCCAGCCTGCCGAGCCTCTCCTGGGCTTGGCCTCCCTGCAGCGCTGGCACTGGCGGCAGGGGCGGCGGTGTCCAGCACAGCGGCTTCGCAGAGTGAAGGGGCGGCCGAGGGTGACCCCGTGGGTCGCCAAGGTGCTCCAGGTGGTAGATCCAGGCCCCGCAGCCCATCGGGGCCTGGCGAGCCACGGGGGCGTGAGGGAGCGTGCGAAGGGCGTGAGAGGCTGCACCTGGCGCCAGAGCTGGGCCACCAGTTGCAGTCGGCCTGGCCCTGCCTCCTCTGCAAGAAGTGTGGGGCGGTGGGCAGGGCAGCAGGGCCAGACGGGGCCAGAGGGCTCAAGCAGCAGTGCCCTGGACCGCACGCGCCTCCCGGGGCCTCGGCTGGGCAGATGAAGGAGAAGAAACAGAAGTGGCAGCACCTCAGCAAGTTGCTCGACGGCCGCGATCCGTATACTGGCGGCCGTCTGACGTGAGGTGTTACCTGGTGATCGGCTGGCAGGTCATGCTGCACTGGCGGTGTGGCCAGGGGCCAGGGGGCTGTCCCTCTGGAGCCTCTCGATCTGGATAGCTAGTTCCAGAAGCTAGTTCCGGTTCAGTAGCCCTCCCTGGGACCTTGGCCGTCGGACAACGACTCCGCAGGTGAGAGGCTGGTCCTGGAGAAGGCCCTAGGGCCCAAGGCTTGTGCCCACCAGGACCATTCTCCCCTCATGCCAGGGCGGAGGGGCTAGAAGGAGGAGTAGGAGGAGGAGATGGCCGAGCAGCACCATGAAGGGGGAAGGTCAACAACATAAAGAGAATATGTGTGTTTGGAGGGAGGGCAATTGCAGCAAAGAAACGTGACTTGATCAGGTTTGTTGTTCAAAGTTCGAATGCAAAGCCGGCTTGTATTACCACGCAGGTCGCATCATGGTCTGCATGCCAGCGAGTTGTAGATGTGGAGTCCATCAGGATTGCGTTGGCAAAAGTTTGTGGTGCTATGTCACGCTGCCTTTGCGCTCCCGTGTACATACTTTCCCGTTGTGCAGGCCTCAGTACTCCTTGCTCGGTGCTCTCGCCAGTTCTCAATCGCAGTCACGAGGCGCGAAATGTTGCGCTCATCCCCTCTCGAAGGCGGCAAGGGCGACACGGACACATTCTGCGCCTCGCTCTCCTTTCCTTTCGTTTGCGCTTCGCAAAGGGGCCGCGAGGACATCCGTTGGATCTTTCTGACGGTGGCCTTGCAATTCACCGAACGAGCACACCGCATCAGCCTCTTGCTCGAGCCCAGTTGGGCGAAGTTCCATTCAGTAGTTCCTCAGCCTGGCCCAGTTCTCAATCGTTCCAGCTCCGACCCCCAGTTCGGCTTCACCCCAGCATAGTTATACTGTATGTGCGTCGCGCCCCCAGCGGCGACGCTCGCACCGAGAAATCTTATAGTATGTGCGTCGTGGCGGGCGCTTTCTGGCCACACCGCTGGGGAAACGATATACTACAAGATGGGTATACTATAGCATGTCCGGTATGGAGGACACATGGTATTAGTATGGACGCGCACCTCCAAGGAGGACATGGTATTAGTATGTCCCTGTGCGTCCCATGGCCCAGTTCTCAATCGTTCCAGCTCCGACCCCCAGGAGTTGCCGCCTAACGATGACTAGCCCCCATCGCCCATCCCGGAGCAGCAAAAGCACACGCGCGAGCGCATAGCATTCGTTTTTGGTGTGGGCGGGCGTGCGCAGCGCCTCATCGGAGGCGGGGTCTTGGCGGCACACTGCTGGAGGGGGCGCAAGAAGACTGATGGTTCTCATTCTCCACCTCCCAGCTCTCCTCCTGCTCGCCAGGCGCCTCCTCCTGTTCCTGAGGCATTTGTGTTCCTCCTCGACCTCCCCTTGTCCTCCTCCATCTCGTCTCCTCGCCCTCTCCATCGTCCTGTGGGATTGGGTCCTCCACCCCCCGCCCATCTCCCCAGAGGGCTCGCAGCTGGATGCAGTAGGCCCCAGGATAGGCCACAGACGCTCCCCAGACGGGACTGCGTTTTTAGCAATACGGTCAGGAACTTTGATCAGCGTGTCGCTCCGCCGGTTCTGGCCCACCACGCCTCGGCGCGATATGCTAGTTACGCATTACTTCGCCACTCAACGTCAAACGCCGCGAGCTTCTGCAAGCCTCCCGCCCCGCGGAGCGAAGCGACACACTACATCCGCTGGGAGGGCATAGCGTGTCGCCAGGGCCGCCGCCGCGACACGCTGTGCAAAACTTCTGGACCGCCATACAGAAGTACAAGCGCGGACCTGGGTCATGGTCCCTGGGGGCAGTGCCTCCACGGCGGTGTGGTGGCCCAGGCCTCCCGGCCTGCCCGCCTGCCGGGGCTTCCCGGCCAACTTCCGGGGTGCCTGGGGAGCGCCAGGAAGCCTAAAGAGCGCACAGAACGAGACAATCCGCGACAGGAGCCCCCCCCAAGAAAAAGGCCAAGGACAGCTCAGAAGTCTCCAAGGCGGTGGTTTCCGACGAGAGGCGCAACTGTTCCAGCGCAGGGGAGGAGGAGGAGGAGGAGGAGGAGGAGGAGGAGGAGGAGGAGGAGGAGGAAGACGACGACGACGACGACTACCGCGCCCGCTCGCTCGCCACTGTTCGAGTGCTCATGAAAGCGCAACCCGAGGTAGCCAGCGCCAGGTCTTGATTTAGTCGAGACGCTGAAGTCAGGACCACCTCGGGCTCAGGAGTGGCTCTGGTAGTGGGCCGTTCCTTAGAACTGGGGGAACCTACTTACGCAGGCCGAGGCTCGCCTTGTAGAGGCACTCCTTTCAGTTCCTTTCTCAGCGTTCCCGGTGCTTGCGCGGTGACTGTGCTCCCTCCTGCCCTGCGCCAGCTCCTGCTCCAGGTCAGTCCCCGACAGACTCGCGCCTCTCCGCTGCTGTCCTTCCTCATCGTCACTCGTTCTCCCCTGCCCCCCTGATCATCCTCCCCCTTGTCCACACAGTCAGGGATCCCCAGAGGTGGCGGGAGTTGTCGTAGCAGCGGTGGTGGCATCATTCGGCGTGCCTCGAAACTGTTCTTCTGGCTTGCACCCTTCTTGCAGGATGCAGCAGCACGTGGCCTCCCCAATCGTACCCTGGTGGGCATTAGCTTCCTACTCCAGCGCCCACGAACGCATCATTGGCAGTACGCAGCGGCGCCGCAGTGCTCCTCGCGCTGATCGGCGCACCGGCTATCTCCAGCTATTCTCAAGGGAGCCCCCACCTTCCCACCTCCATTGCCGGCGGTATTTTCGCAATCCTGCGGGTTTAGTGGACCGTCCTGCCCTGTGCGATTCTTTCCCCAGTTGCGTTTTCTTATTCTGAGAGTGGCTCTTCTCCCCCACGCAGTCAGAGAGCCACTGGCGGCTCCCAAGTGGCGCCGCCGCGCGTGCGTGCCGCCGCGCGGCGGCGCGCTCCCCCCTCCCGACGACGACCACGACGCCGCCGCAGTCGACTCCGTCCTCGGTCGCCGCCGCCCTCGTCGTCGAGGTCGGCGCCGCCTTTCTCGTCGCAGCCGCCGTGGGCGTCGTCGACGTCCTCGTCATCGACGTCGGCGGCGCCGGGGGTCTCGTCGCCGGCGGCGTGGACGCTCGGCCCCGCCGGCGGGCCGTGGACCCGTGCCGCCCCGCGCCTCCGCAGGAACGGGGAGGCGCAGGCGTGGGAGGCGGGGGCGCCGAGCGTGCTCTCTGCTGCGGGCAAGACTGATGTCCTGCTGGGAAGGGGCCCCATCGGGCGTCTGGGGATGGGAGCCCGAAGCTCCAAGATGCAGTTGATCTTCAAGGGAGGGAAAACCACCCCGATCGTACAATCGGCGTTCACTAAACGGCCCTGGGCGTTTACTAAACAGCCCTGCCTTGTTCGATTCCTTCTTCGGGCGCGTTTACTAAGCGACTTCGCGTGTCGGGGTCGTTCTTATGAGGGTGGATTTTTGTTACCTCTAGATCTGGATGTTCATCTTGCCCGCTTCTGTCGCGGGCGTCGTCGAGTCAAGGGCAACACGGGGGAGGGGTGGGTGGGGGGATAGGAGGCTCAGGGGTGACGACAGTTTCGAGGCTCAAGGCTTTCGGGCGTGCTCGTCGGTGCTCGGCGGTTTCCCAGCCTCGGGATGCTCGCAAGCAGCTGCGCCTCGCCGAGAGCTTTCCACAGAGGGGCTCCGGGATCGTCCGGAGCGGCCGCTGGAGAGCCGAGGCATGGCTCGAGAGCCAGGAGGCAAAGGTGTCATAGGAGGGGCGAATCGGCTGCGTGGAGGGATGCGTCGACCCCCGAGTCGCCCACTCCGCACCGTTTGCGTCCCAGTAGCCGCAGCCCTGTCCCGCCCGGGAAGGCTCGGATTTGCTGCCCGGGGCCCGTCTCCGATCTATCTGCCACGTATCGCCGGTTCCAGGTCGATATTCCCCCCAGCTGAGCGGGTCCAGGGTTCGCGGTGCTACAGTCATCGAGAAAAAAACAAGAGTTCATAAACATTAGCATTAGAAGGTCTGTGTGGATTTGTTGGATCTGCGCTGGACTCCCCCCCGACGCCCACTCATCGCCGATAGGGGCCCGATAGCCCACCTCCGCCTGAGAACGTGTGGTTTCACTATCGTCGGCCGATCGCCGATGTATCGGCGATCCATTGCCAATTCCGCATCGATGTTTCCCTCCCTGTGCCCCTCCCCCACTACCCGTCGGACGTTTAAAGTAGGTATCTCTGGATTCCCAGATGACAAATCTACTTCAAGCGCCTTCCTATTTCAATAATCGATCTGCCTTTGCTGTGTGTTGTTCTTCGCTGGGATGACCTGGAACCAATCTATGTAATCCGCCTTCCTGCTTTGTGTTTTTACCTGCTTCTTCCGACCGACGTGCATCGTTCCCCCATCGGAGAGGCGCAGGAGCCGGCGGGGGCACTTCTTTCCGCTCCTTGCCCGCGTTGGGGTCCCGCAGGCACCGCCGTCGCCATGCCCCCCCCCTGGCCAGACAAGGCAAGACAAGACAAGACAAGACAAGACACGACACGACAAGACAAGACAAGAAGACAAGTGCAGCGTCCTCGGGTCGGTCAGCGATCAGCCTCTTCAGTCGTTCACGAGGGCTGGAGGAGCAGAATGTTCTGAGCCCCAGTGCTCTGGACAGCATAGATCGCTCAGTGTTGAATGACCTGCGGCGGCGGTTGAAGCCAGCGGCTCCCCTGAGGCCCCCATCGTCCCATGATTTTCGCTCATCCTGAATCTACCATGGGCGTTTCATTGCAGTTTTGCATCCGGCGTGTTATAATGTTTGTTCTTAGCATTTTCAGGTTCCCGAAAACAACACCGATAAAGACACACCTGTTGGTTGTTTATTGCGCGTTCAGATATGATTGTGAAGCGTCTGCAGGTCAGTATATTGTGTTGTTTAACATGGCCGTCTACGACGTCCTTAGTGCCTTCTCTTTGCGCCTAGTCTTCCCCATCTGTTTCGTATGTTTGTTCGTTAAGTTTGCTCTTCTCTGGCCGTCGCTGCTGGCTGGTCGCGGGGCCTCCAGACCTGTTTCGCGCAAGTGTTGGACAGGTGCTAGGGTGTTTTGTGGTGTTGGCTCTGCGCGCGGAGTGGGAGGAAGGGGAGGCAGCAGGAAGGGGAGAGCGAGAGCGAAGACGGTAGGGAAGACAAGGAGCAGCCTTCGACACGAAAACAGAACACGCTTAACACATGATCCACAGCGACAGTCCTGAATACGCAAAAACCATGTAATTTGTTCTTGCGTATTCAGCCTGCCAATAGCCCAACGTTCAAACTGGTATTAGAACAACAAACGTCCAGAGCGACCTTAAGATTAACCAAGTCTGTAATCACAGGAAGCCTTTGTTCTATGTCTCTTCTCGCCGTTTCGCGGCCGATGGGCTTCTAAGGCCTCACGATGGTTTCAAGATGACCCGAGAGGGTTCCCAAGAGAGGCCCAAGAGGGCCCAAATAGCGCCCTCGTCGACGCAGGCGCCAGCCGAGGACCCAGCTTGCGGCAGCGGCGCCCCGCTCCCAGTGCCTCCGAGCTCCCCCCCCCGCCCGCACCCCAGCCAGAGGCGACGGAGGACGTGGCCCACGGGCGCACGGAGGAGCGCCCCCCGCTCGGCCGCCGCCGCGGTGCGTGTTGGGAAGAGAGGCGAGCAGAGGGCCGAAACGGGGGGGGGCGGTTGTGGGCGGGCATGGGGAGGAGGAGGAGGAGGAGGAGGAGGAGGAGGAGGAGGAGGAGGAGCGCCACGGATTCGCAGGTGTCTCCTGGCTGGGCCCCATGCAGGGGCCCCTATCCACACATCATTCTGAAAATCTGCAGCCACGGGTGCCAGTCAAAAAACGCTACGAACATCACAGCTCAATCCCAGACATGATAG